ATACTACGTGGCCGGCTGCCTACCGGGAATTAGAGCGCCGGGAGTCGTAGTATCCTACACTTAGGAGGGACTATTACGGCCGTCTAGCCGAGGAGAACGAGGATTTTGAGGACGAGTTCGAGGAGGAATATCCTATTACCGAGGATGAGGAGGCTATATTTAACGAACTCGGGAACGAGCATCCTAGCGATAATAATCGGATTCGCGAGGAGCTCGAGTTAGGACAGCGGGGTATTGATATTTCTGCTGACTGGAGTCCCTACTGTAGCCGTTTTAAGGATACTATACCCGAGGTTTACGAACCGCTAGCTCGGAATAACTATTAGCGGCGGTTAAAGGAAAGTTCGACCTCGAATTTAGATGTCGAATCTTAGGCATCCAACGCCTATCTATCACTAAATCCGGGGCAAGCGGCAGTATATAGTGTCTTTGTTAAGAACTACGAACAGTTTGTCCGAGAGTTTCCATTCGGTACCCGCTTAGGGGCGCCCGCCAACTCCGAAGGCGCCCCGTAGCTATTAATTAATCTCGACGGCGAGGCGGGTACCGGAAAGTCCTATGTAATCGAGCTACTCTCGGCTCGGTTATAGGCTCTTGCGCGGCGTACTGAAGGTAGTACTCGAAGTCCTATTGTTAGACTTGCCCCTACTAGGGCAGCGGCGTTTAATATCGATGGCTATACTATTTATTCCTTCTTTAATCTACCTATTCAAGTCGATCCTATCTTAGACGAACTTGGAGACGAGGCTAGAAAGGTCTGCCGCCGACGGTTAGAAGGAGTGCGTTTTATAGTAATTGACGAGAAATCTATACTTAGTATTCGTCTACTAGGTTGGATTAATTAGCGCCTATTCGAGATCTTTCCTAAAACTAAGGCCTCTACCGACTTTTTTGCCGGGTTTAGTATTCTTCTAGCCGGGGACTTCTGTCAGCTTCCGCCCGTCGCGGCTACCGCTCTCTTTACTACTAAGCGTTTATATAACGCTATAGATATCTCCGGTCGTAATTGCTACCGAGCCTTTAAGTATACGCTACGTTTGTCACAGGTTGTCCGGCAATCCGGGCAGGATAAGACTGCCCTACAATTTAAGGATGCCCTACAAGCCGTCCGGGTTAATAAGGTAGAAGATAGGCACTATAATCTTCTTAGACAGCGTACGTTTACGCCCTTCGGGGAGGCAATACAGAGAGACTTTAAGTCTGCTATCCGGCTTTACTCCTATCGTACTACGGTAGAGCAGTTTAATCGTACGCAACTCTTAGCTAGCGAATATCCGATACTTCGTATTAGCGCTAAGCACGACTCTATTTCGAGTAGTCGGCTTAACGAGAAAGAGTTTCAAGGACTCTATTCCGAGCTATACTTAGTTATTGGATGTCCGGTACTTCTATATCAGAATATCTGGACGGAGATGGGTTTAGTTAATAGTAGCCGCGGCTAACTATATAGTATTCTCTAGGACGAGGACGTAGAGAGTCCCCGGGATACTATGCCTCGCTGTCTACTCGTTTATTTTCCCGAGTTTCGTAGGGTTGGACTAAACGAGCAGATCGACGCTCGGGGGGGGGCCCGGAAGGGTGCGGTTGTGCCTATCTTTCCCGTACGGAGGGCACGCGGTACTTACGGTACTACGGAGACACAATAGCGCGAGCAATTCCCTATAGTAACCTGCTATGCGATTACGATTTATAAGTCGCAAGGTATAACTTTAGATCGGGTTGTCGTAAACCTTAGGGAGAAGCAAGTATCTCCCAGGGCATTCTACGTAGCCTTATCGAGGGTTAGGGCCTATAAGGACCTCGCTATCGAACAAGACTTTGTAAAGTCGGATATTACTTTTAGTATCTCCGATATTACGAAAGATAGGGATCTAGATTGGCTAGAACGGACGAAGCAACTCCTATCTGTCGAAATTACTAGCCCTACTACTACGCTACGTAGTATACGTACACAAAGTCTAGCCTTTAGTTCGCTAAGGTCTATTCCTTTAGTCTCGACTAGGAAAACACCTTCTACCCTCCGTAAGAGTATCGATCCTTCGCCGGTTCGGATTCCACCTATCCTCCGGCCGTCTTTAAGGGATACTAGGCAGAGGAGTCCGTTACGGCATAGAACTACGTAGGAGGAATTATAGGGTGGCTCGGTATCGCCGGATTTATCACCTAGCCCGGCGGATCCTAGCCCTACGTTACTACCGAGGCGAAGAGCGCCTACTATACCCCGTCCGGAGGGGCCCCCGGAGGAGTACCTAATAGCTGGTAGGATAGGAGGTAGTAGTCCTATACCGGAGTTAGGTTTCGAGGAGGAGGAGTACTTTGTATATTAATCTACTATATATGGTTTTGTACTTAGGCGGCGCTATATCGGAGTTAGGTTTCGAGGAGGAGGAGTACTTTGTATATTAATCTACTATATATGGTTTTGTGCTTAGGCGGCGCTATATCGGAGTTAGGTTTCAACTTTCGAGGAGGAGTACTTTGTATATTAATCTACTATATATAGTTTTGTACTTGGACGGCGTTTATAATAGGCTGTAACTACTAAGAGGAAATTCTATTATCGAGTTCCTATCTAAGTAACTTAACAAGTTGCTAGACTATTGTACTAACTCGCGCGGCTCTAATTCTATAATTTAAGTAAACGTATATATTTCTTTGATTTTCGAATATATCTAGGGTTTATAACGGACTAAGTTGTCCGGTAATAACGGTATAGTTTCTACTAATATTGTCCTAATCTATCCTAATACTCTTATAATATATTATATACTAGCATTATAAATATATCCCCTTAACTAGTATATTTAATTTCTATATATACGTTTATATTTCCCCTTGCTATATATACTATCTTATATATTATATATATATATATAGACTTATAGTATAATTTTTATTAGAATCGTATTAATACTAACACATATACTAACCGAATACTAGACTCTAAATCCGATAGTCGTCGATTGTAGTTAAAATTTAGGCTTTAACGATTGTAATAATAAAATATTGTTCGTAGTTAATCTCCTCTACCTTAGTCTTTTTTTTTTAAAAAAAAAAAAAGCCAACCAAACACCCTCCGGAAGTACCCATTCCCGACCCGTATAGCTTCAACGTGTGCTATATTATAGCGTAGAATCAGCTACACGGTCGGGGGATTACAGTCCTACTCGGGAATACAGAATAGTAAACACTGTGAGTAGCCGGCCAGCCCCTGCTCCCCCGGAGGGGCCCTCAATAAAGCGTAGTCTAACGATTGGGCCTCGGGGCGCCCGCATCTACTACCCTCGTCAGTAGTGTATCTGATTGGCTGAACGTCCTCGGGTTTTGCGTATATATATCTGCCCATCTATGCCAAGAAATCCGGGGAAGCTGATATAGCTCAGCTGGTGGACGCTCGCTTTTTTAAGCAACGCCAAGCCGAAAATTTTCGAACGTGGGTGACCTCTGCGCTGCCACTCTTGGAACGCGCCCGCGGTCCACAACACTTCCTAGTTGCTACCTCGCAGGCAGGTATAAAGGTTTGTAAGCAAAGTGGCCGTTAGATAATAAGACGAGATAGGCTAGTTGCTAATATATTGTTGCTTAGTAAGGCCTAGATATCCCTATAGTTATAGGGTCTTTCTAAAGGCGTGTTCTATCTCTATTCTTGCCCTTAATATACGAGTATTAAATGCCTGTTTTAATAGCGGTAGAGGCTTGCTAGGCTATAGACAGATAACACTATAAGTATAATAGTATACTAGATCGCCGTATAGATAGAGCATTCTCCGTTTATCTATAAGACGCCGTATTCGGTTAGGAATAGGGGAATCTTACTAGATAGACTAGTTATTTGTTCTGCCCTCGTATAGGCCGAGGAGAGACGATAGTATACCGTTAGGTATAATAATACCTTAGAACCTGTAGCTATGCTTCTTCTTATACCCCGTATAGCAAATCCGTTAATCGTAGGTAGATCGAAGAGGCCTTATAGTACCGCGGAAAGTGCTATTAATAAAACCCTAAAAGTTGCCTAGATAACTAGCTCTTTTAATACTACGTACGAAGCCTCTTATAATATAATATCGTCTTAATCGTAGGTGCTAATAAACAAGGCTTCTAAACTGCTCCTAGATATAGAGTATTATATCCGAGAAGATTATCGATAGAAAGCACTTCGGTCGTCTAAAATAGTTAGTTAGGTCCTTCTAGCGATACGGATACGATAGCCGCCGATATATAATACAGAATACTAACTCCGGCTCGTAGATGTAACAATTAGACTATTATATAGTATCGATTCGTAATATAATAGCTAGGAAGCGAATCTCTACCTTAATAAACCTATTACCGCGGTAATTAGCTAAGCGTAGCGGTAGTAAGGTCCTTCTAACCTTCTAATATATACTAGCTATTAATAATAACCTCTATATTAATAATAATAACCTCTACCGGCGACGTACCTATATTTATCTTCTACCTTTATATCGATATAGTTATCTAGACTCTATACCTTCCTTATATACGGAATCGTCGGCCGCGAGCGGAAACTACGGTCTCTACGCCTCGTATATACTAAAGCGATTAATATAGCGACGATTGCTAGTAGGCGCGACCTTACCGCCTTTACTTTAGCTATTTTGCCTATACTATACGCGCTACGCGCTCGAAAATACGATATCTATACGAAGCGGAAGAGACGGAATACTAGGCCTATTCGAGGCTCTTAGCGGAGCTAGAGCGGCGCCTGGAGCGGCACCTAGAGCGGCATCAAAAGGCGTGGCGAAATCCGTCTAATATTAGAGTTGGCAGGGAAAGTGGAGTTGTCGAAGGACGGGAACTGAAGGGTCAATGCTTTTGTGGGGCTGTTGGAGTGAACAGGGGTGGCACGCTGAGGATCGGCAACCCAGAGCGAGCACGAGGTATTGTCACAGTGTCACTACTGTACTGCTTCGTAACATCATTTTGTTTCGTTTTTTTTTTCGGAAAGGTTCAGCTAAAGAATCGACCATCAACCATCCCACTGACAGAGCCATCTCGTGGCGGTAGAGCACAAATCTTGGAGAGCGTTGGGACAGACCGCAAACATGCGAGTCTCCAAGACTCATATCGCCGGCGTTGGCGTGTCAGAGATCATTGAGAGAACGACAGACGAAGCAATCGGAAAATGTGCGATTTCGGCTGGAACCAAGGCACTTCTGGATGCCGGCATAACATACAGCGATGTGGACCAAAGCATCGCGTGCTTTCTCGACGACGTGAGGATAGAAAGAAGAACCTTCGACACTTTCGGCTTGCAAGGCGCGCCGGTATTTGAGGTTGCCAATCACACCGGTCTCTTCTCCTCGACGCAAGCGGTCGCCTCTAGACAATCGAATTGCACATTGACGATCGGATTCGACAGAGAAGTTGCACAAGACAGCCACAACCAAGTACGCATCCCACCTGTGCTGAAAGGAGAGGGTCGGCTCACATCAGACAGGTTCAAGTCGTGGCCATTGTGCTCGTATCCGATCTGTTCTTGACTTCTCACGCATATTTGAAAGACTCTGCAATCTGCATTTGCGGCTCAGCACTCACAAGCACAATTTTCCAACGATCACTTCACCTCTCGCAGGGTGGCGAGAACCAGTCTCGCACAGTGAAGACAGCAGTCGCCCGTGCATTACGCCAGGCAAATCTCCAGCAAAGAGACATCCGGATCCTTGAAATCAGCTTCAGCTCAAATTGGGACCCCCGGAAAGCACTCCTAGATTTTGATGTTGCACCACAACTGTCTTCGAAACCCGACGACCGCTTTACTGGAGCGACCGGTCTGGCAAGTCTTTGCAGTTTAAGTACGTTTGTGAAAATTTCCGCGCATCATCAGTCTTTACTAACTACTGTCTTCAGTCTGGCGACTACGAGGGTGGGCAGGCGGCCCACCTTCGCGGGCACAAAATTGCTTGCAACTAATCCTGGGCTCGCAGGGCACAGCAAGCGTACTCATCCTCCGGCGCTCCGATGGAAAATCTGCTTTGGCTTGGGATGAGGTCAAGAATGTTAGAGACGGCCGTGAACGACTTGGCTACAATCCAGCTGCTGGCGAGATACGAGATATCTCTGTCGAAGACCTCGAAGCGGTGCGAGCAAAAGTGGAATTCACGCTGGCTGATGACTCTGTGAAGCGTCTACAGCTACCCGTGAAAGGTGGAGATCGAGCCGCGCTTGCCAGACTGTAGGGCTGTGAGTGAATGAATCCAAATGCCAAAGATTGATCTGGTCAACACCTCCAAGCGTCAGAATGGCCATCTTTACCGCAGCTCAATGCTGTATTTCCCTTGGAAATTCCAGCGAATTCGTGGTAAGAATTTTCTTGTTGCATCGTAGTCTACCGCAAGCGAGGACTGGGCAATTCAGACACAGCAGCCGGGCTGGCAGAGGCAGAGCTACACATGATTTGGTCGACCTCGTGCGCTCCCGCGAAATTTCTACCGGATCCTGCACCATGGTCGTTGTGGCGGCTTCCAGATTGGGAATCAACTACCTAGGTACCACATACGTATACAAACAGTGACCAAGGTGGTGCTCGGTACCAACCATGATGATGCAACCCACAAAACATGTGGTCATAAGCAATGCCAAATGACCATTATGGTCTCGAATCCTCATATCGAGTCCCGAGCGGACAAAAGTACGAATGTCCCTACTGCAACGACCCAGATCAAGAGATGCCAGCAAAAAGATAGATGTGGACTAATCTGCAGTGATGACATCCAGCAAAAGAAAGCATGAATCCTTCCCAAGTCGTCGTAGATCTCGGCGGAATGGGATGAGGCGCAAAGATACCAAGTTGCTCTCATGCCTAACATTTTCCGTAACTACCTGTACCCTCGCTGTTTGCACAATACCCCAAATTCCAGACGAGTTTGCTCTTGCAATTGCACAATTCCGGTCTTCCCTCGCTGCCAAACGAAAGCGCTGCAAGGTGTTACCCGAAGATCTATATGGCTTGATTGAGCAGTACGGAGCGACGGAGCGAGCAGGCGGAACGAGTGCAGATCCAGCCGTCGTCCAAATCGCAGGGCCTCGATCTGGGTATTCTATATGGGGTGCATGCGCTTGTGCGTCCCCCGCTCCGAGGATCTGTGGGGCGGGAATGGAGCTGTATAGAGCTTCACTACTGCGGCTTGCATATATGGTATTTGAGGCGTCATGGGGTTGTACACGCTCCAAGACACAGTAGCTTTGCTGCTTGTACCAAGAGCACATATCTAAAGAATCAAGAATTTGAAGACTTGACAGTGAATATGGCGGAGAATACTTGGGACTATATCATCTGCGGGTAAGGATGAATGTTGATGTAGAGATGAATTGGCCAGATACTGATTCCGATTCCTTTCTACAGTGGGGGAACATGTGGTCCAGTCGTCGCCGGTCGATTGTCAGAGGACCCAAGCCTCAAGATCCTCATCCTTGAGGCGGGCTCGCACAGCAAGGACATGGACAATGTTCACATGTCTGGAGCGTGAGTATCTAGATCAAATCAGATCTCCAGTATCGATCACTCGTTCTGACTGTAATCCAGATGGACGAAAAATCACTATGGACCAACAGACTGGAATATCGTATCTCCGCCACAAGTGGGCTTGAATGGCAAAGAATGCAGACTTCCTCGCGGCAGATTTCTTGGTGGCAGTAGTGGATCCAATGGAACGATTTGCATACGTGGAGTCAAACAGGATTATGATGATTGGGGATTCCCAGAATGGAATGGAGATGAGATGTTCCGAGCGATGAGAAAGGTGAGCGTAGACCTCGTCAGTCCCAAATCGTATAGCTGACAACTGCGTGCAGGCAGAGACATTCCATCCCAAGGAGTGGTTCCCACACGATCCAAGCGCTCACGGCACCGATGGTCCTCTCCACATCGAGCCTGCTCTGCCTCCTATTCCGATTGCTCAGCGTATGTTTGAGTCGTTCCAGTCGAAAGGCCTTCCATACAAGCCAGATATGTTCAGCACAGGAGAATCACCCAAAGGATGTGGCCATGCGATGCGAACGACATGGCAAGGTTATCGAACAACGGCAGCTGACTATGTCATCAAGGACAAGGAGCGGGAAAATGTCACAATCAAGTGCGACGTGACCGTCGACAAGGTTATCCTTGAGCAAGGTGCGGATGGTCTCGAAGCGAAGGGTGCCGAGTACGTCGATGCGGAGGGCAACAGATATAAGGCCTTCGCCTCACGAGAAGTTATCTTGGCTGGTGGAACATACAACACACCAACGATGCTGATGCGTTCCGGCATTGGACCGAAGAAGGATCTCGAGGCGCTTAATATCCCAGTACAGCTCGACCTTCCCGGTGTCGGCGAGAACCTGCAGGACCATCAGCTCATCTTCATGTACTATGAGCTCAGCGAGCCCGAGCTCACAGACGATGCTCGCGTGAACCACGACCCCGAAGCATATGCGAATGGCCACAAGGAGTGGCTCGAGAAGAAGACGGGCTGGTTGGCCAACTTCCCATTTGGTGCGTTCGGCTTCAACCGCCTCACCGATCGCCTCGAGAGGGATAGCGCAGAATGGAGAGCACTTCCAAGAGCGCCAGGTCGCGACCCCATGGGCCTCACTGAAGATCAGCCGAACTGCGAATTCTTCAACACCATCTGCTATGGCGGACCACCCGAATACACGGACTTCCCGAAGGAGGGACAATGGGCATTCTCGATGTGCTGCTTCCTTTGCGGTCAACAATCTCGTGGCCACGTCAAGATCAAGTCTCTTGATCCTTTCGCGCCCCCATATGTCGACCCATGCTATCTCACCGACAAGCGCGATCTGATGATGATGTCCGAAGGTGTTCGTTTCGCCAACGAGGTTGTCATGGAAGGCGCGGGTACCAAGAACGTCGTCAAGGGAGGCTGGCCTGCGGGTGCGAATCACCACTTGAACAAGACCAATGAGGATTGGCAAGCGTTTGTGCAGAAGTACGCTTCGACATCCTACCACCCTGGCGGCACATGCAAGCTTGGCAAGAAGGATGATCCGATGGCTGTTGTTGACCAGTACCTTCGCGTATACGGTGTCAAGAACCTTCGCGTGGCCGACTGCAGCATCATGCCTAACCTCAACAGTGGTCACACTCAGATGCCGGCGTTTGGCATTGCTGAGAAGGCTGCAGAGTACATCCAGGCGACGTACAAGGGCGAGCTCCAGTAGACGACTTCCTTTGTTGGGTCGAGGTCAGTCTCCCCGTGTCTTTGTATATACAGTAGCGATTTCCAGTAGCTCGATCGAAGCCTCCTTGGCGTGTTGCAGGCTCTCTCACGATTTGGTTCACTCGCTTCGTAGCGTTCGGCGCTGACGATGTCGTCCGTGTTGTCGCTTGCCAGAGGTATAGGGAGAGCTCACGGCACACAGCTAATGTCTCCATATAGAGTCAAGACATCGATGGGGCTCTGTGCAGTAGGAAATGGATCGCTAGGTCGAGCATGTGGCGACCGACGGAGTGATGACAAGGACGGCTTCTTGGCACTCCGCTCAGATCCGCGTTCCCACTTCCAACGTTCCAACACACTCTCCTGATCTTACATGAACATCGAGCGGGCCCTGTCCTGCCCCTTCAAGATGGACTTCCGCATCGAGCAAAACGGGAGATCGTTAATAATAACCGAACGACCGCGACGCCTCTTGCTTGCATTTAGCGACCTGGGACGTCCGGATCAGACTGCACTGCGATACGCGCTTTCTGCTATTCCAACGCATATGATGTCTCAAGAGCTATTTAGCCAGACCGGTTATCGATATGAGGGGGACAGTACTACGTGGATAAGCGCTTCACTGCAACGCCGCGGATCGCGAAGAAGTATTCTGGGACAAAGCATGGGAATCGCACCAACATACAGCGGAAAAGCCGGCTGTCAGCAATGTTGGTCTCCAGAAATAATGCACCCCATCAGGACGCCAAAGAAGAGCTTGTTTTTTCAAGAACGACGAGAACTACGTGCGAGAAGCTGTCACCGGTGGTCCAAGGATAACGCGAGAAGTCTTGTTCACTCACAGGCTCTTACTCTCGCAACGGAAGTTTCAATCGGTGTTGAGCGTTGTCATCATGATCACAGATGCCTCCTATCTTCGAGTACCTTGGATGATACGAATTGCTCCCATTGTTGAAATGTTCGTAACTGACTTAGTACCTAGAACGACTGAACGATACAGACTACCCCTCCCCTTCATCGAACACGTGCACTATCTCCATCGACCTCAACATCCAGTAGGCGGCGGTGCGAACGGCGGCTCAACATCACCCTCATTCCAACAGCCACCCCAGAACTTCCCCTTGCAGCCCGCTACCTGATGGTACTCGCAGATCTTCTTCTTGCCCGTCACGCCATTGCAATCCGGGATATCAAATGTATGCCGTGCATCCTTGCAGACGTCCCATGATCCACCATACATCCTATTCAATCGTCAGCAACCTCACTGCAACGGTCGGATGATGTCCATTCACACTCACTGCTTGCAGGCATTGACCAAGTCAACACGGAACGTGCATGAGTTATCGTCACGCATCTCCAATGGACTTGCCAATGCTAGCGTGGACAGACTTCCTGCCAGGAGGATGACTTGCTTGAGACCGAGCATGATGATATAATGTCGTAGAATCGTACGATACAGTTGAGAGATTGAAGGACTGTTGCGCAAGAAATCTGAAGGAATGCCTATAAGCTTATATATGATTTCTAGTAGAAGAGTGGGGATTGTCTTGGACATAACATCCGACTATCCGACATTGCGCACTCCGCACCAAGCCGATAATAGACCAGGCTTCCCCTGAAAAGCTATTATTATTACACGGAGCGATGCAAGGCACATGGTCGATTGAATGCACTATTAAAAAAAAAATTCCCGATTCGGCAGTCTGCGGACGAATTTTTAGGTCGTGTAAGTCTGTAAGACTTGTTGGCTCGGTTTCATGACTGAACCAGGGGTATAAGCGCTACTTCATAGTGTGGTAGTGTGCCTGCTAATGTTAGATTCTGCTTCCAGAACCGACGAGAGAGGTTTACGCACTACCGATCGTCGCTACGATAATGAATCGCCTGCTCGGCTATTTGTGAAGCCTTGCAGCTCGAGCTTCGTCGTTCCAGAAATCACACTGAGCCCTACGATATGAGTCGCGTTCGACGACAGTAAAGTTCCCTGGATTGACTAGAAGCTGTTCAGCATCTGCACCTTTTGACCCATCATACTGTGGCCACTCTGGCGTTCCATCAAGTCGTGCCGTGTTCGGATCTCCAGTCGTGACGAAGCTGGCCAAATAAGCATGGTAAATCGAACCAGTAATCTCGTACGGCACGCGCTTCGAGGCCCACGTGTAACGAGTATCTGAAGTATGCGGAATGCCGCGCCATGAAGTGTACTCCAGAGGAAGATCGGGAGTATTGAAGCGCAGACGCCAGATTGGCACGTTTGCTTTCGAGACTCGGAATGCAGTTTCTCGGCTTGGACAGATATACGCATAGTCGGACCAGGCTTCCGAAAGGCGGTTGTATTGAGTGCTGTTTGGCGAGCTACTGTAGGGTGAATCTGGATGAGCCACGGGATCTGGGTAGAGCTCGTTCAATACGGCGATATCGGTTACATTCAGATCTGGGCTAGTGTTAAGCATGAAGTTCAAAAAGTCATCGTTCGACTGTAAAGTGCCCGGAGTATAGAATTTTCCTTCATTGGTGACATGGGAAGTGATGGCAGGCAGATGGAAGAAGGTTCCCTCAATACCGGAGACCGAACCTGGACGCTCGAGCAGCGGGCCTCCAAGTGTTGGCTGGAATGGCCATGCAATGGATGGTGCCCCGTCTGCATACATCTGAGCACTGATGGATTGAATCGCATCAATCGGCGCTTTTCGCAGACATTGTAAAGCTGCGGCATTCGTGGCATTGGTTGGGCAGTGCAACGCACCCATAAACCTCTTGAAGTCCGACTGATACTGGGGATAGCTGGAGTCCGGGAAAGCACGAGCCGTGACAGATCCCGATTGATGTATTACCCGAGCGAAAAGAGGCTTCCCAGGATCGTTGCCATAGTTGTGGAAGTAGTGGATCCCTGTTGAATGCGCTCCAGCTGAGCGGCCGCCCAGGGTAATCTGTTCTGGATCTCCACCGAAAGAGGCGAGATGGTCTTGAAGAAATTCAAGGAAGAAACGCTGATCGAGCAAGCCAAGGTTCAGTAAGCCTTCCTGCTCGAATAATGCCGAAGGCAAGAACCCGAGGGAGTTGAGGCGATACTGGAAGCTGACAACCGCAATTGGCTCTTTCGAGTTTGCAGCGAAGGCTGCCCCGTCGATACTGCGTGAAGACCCAGAAACGAAACCTCCTCCATGGATCCAGACCAAGGTGGGTAGCTTTTGATTTAACGGAACGCCTGCTGTGCGGTAGACGTTGAAACTTAGACATGCTTCACCTTGCTCATAAGGAAGTTCGTCTGGGTCCTGGACGCACGCCTTGCCATATGCTGTCGCCGGACGAACTCCTTCGAAAGTTAATGGTCGACTCTCGACCGGGCGAAATCTGCGTTCGCCAACGGGCTGCGCGGCATAATCGATGCCAAGCCATGCATCTACTGCTGCTGGCAGGGTGTCATTGGTGAGGGAGCTGTTAATCGAGAGGCCCTGGAAACATCCATATCCAGTGAGGTTCACGATCGGTGTCGCAGTTGACGCGAGAATCTGCTGACCTAGCGCCAACCAAGCCGCTGTTCTCTTCATAGTCGTAAGTGAATTGGTCGAAGCGGGAGACACATCGGAAAGTCCACAGAGAAGGAAATGTTAGCCTTACTTATGACTTCCATCAGCCGCTATCGGAGTGTCGGATCTCGTTCGCTATCGATATCATGGGGGCAGCCTGCTAATGTGAACGCATGCTGCACTAATACATGTCAAGACTGGTGAAGGGCCACCATTTGTGAGAGAGCGCTTGTCGCTGGCCGCTTGCTGGGATGTGAATGACAGGCGGGACGTCGGCCGTTCCTGATAGAAGTTTTTCCTACGAGCCGCACAGCCGCACATGCCGTACAATCTTAGCAATACCGTCGCACTACTTTACATAATTATTGTGCAGCTAATACTTGACTAATACAGATGAAATTAAGCATTCTAACTTAGTTTAATATATAGATTCGGAATGAAATTATCTTAGTTACAATAGCGTATAGGTTTACGTACTATTCTACTAGTCTTTATAAAGCTATAATAGGGGTTAGGGAGGTAGGTAGATAGTATAGTAAAAAGCGTATAGTATTCGATAAGGTCTATAAAGGAGAGAGAGGAAGGTTAGGAAGTTAGGCTAATACTAAGCGCTAAGCCCTACCTACTAGTAAGGTACTAAGACCCTAGCTTTACTTAGCTAGTTATATGCCTTTTATATACCCTCTAATAAAAGCTTAGTATACTTAGCCTAATAACTAGCCGCTCTACTAGATCTATAAATATAGGTTACTAGATAGGTTATAGCTATAACGCTTTACGAGTACGTTTAGAAAGGCTAATAGAGGCTATTAGATTAGCTTCTAGTATTACTACTACTACTCGAGAGTCCTAAGTATACTATTTCTTTAATAGCTTTAGTAGTAGCCTCTACCTTCTTTTTCTTTAGTATCTAGTAGATAGTATTAAGTATTTACTTACTATATAGTATAGAAGGTCTTAACTAATAGCAGATATAGGTTTAAGGCACTTTAGCCTCTTAATCTATATAAAAGTATAAGGTTCTTATCTATAGGATAGATATATATCTTTATAAAGCCACTAATAACGTACTTAGTTATAAGGGACTTTATCTAGGTTACTAGGTAAGCTAGAAGAGCCGGAAGAAGTTACGCTTTATAATAGTACTAAGATCTATAGACTCTCTAATTACTAATAGTATAAGTAAGGATATATTAAGCGGCTATATTCTATATATTATATAAGGAGGGAATACTACTAGTATAACCTTATTTACTATATAATAGTTAATAAATTATATGCTTATAGCAGGACTACTTGATCTAATCGCTGTGGTTTGACTGGGGAAATATGCGGGCACAGTAGTGTTAGAAGAGCCGGCGAAACTCGGGCCGAGACTTGAGTGAATGTCTGCATCTGTCTCTGGAGCGCGTTCTGCTCCTTCGCAGTTAATGCATCATTCATTATGCAGGATATGCATCGCCTCAACGCCACCGTATGCCAGTTTCGACGCGGCGGAATACATTATATCGCCGCATTGACACTCTCGACCTCACTGGCCCATCTCTGCGAGAAGCGTGACAGTGCTACGAGGTGGTATACAATGCGTGAAGGCGTCTCAATTGTGTTCGCACATGGCTTCACCAAGATGATCCCGGCACCCTCGTGATTGGATCGAGCAAAGCTCACGACTAGAAGATCGGAGCTGAAAGAGATGGTCGCCAATGGCAAGAGGCAATTCTCGTCCGTCTGTTACAATTCTGCACTTGCTGGCTCAGATCGTCCCAGGAGATTCCATCGCAAGATCTCCTAGATGCTCCGCCAATGTTCTTTGTAGCCGATCTTGTGCTATCCTCGGAACAAAGCGTGAAAGAGCATTACGCTTCACCGGATCACAATCAACAAAGACTTGCCAAAGACCATTCATGGCCTTCCTGTCATCTCGCGAACGGCTGCGTTCAGCTTCAAGCACCAACTTTCCTACACGAGCGGATCTGGTATTCAACGCTCCATCCATCCATCAGGCAGGTCCTTTTCCACGGAATTGTTTTCCTATTTCTTTTCAAAATGCCTCGAAGTACTGGTACCAAGGCAGGCTATGCCACTCCCATCAATGTCGGCACATTCTACAAGTCAAAATTCATGAAACAGGAGAAATACACAATCACCAACCTCTCCTTGCCGCTTTTAAGCACCGACTTACATCCCTTGCTGAGCAAGGTAAACCACCACATGCCAGCGAGTCTGCGACCGTGCATGGCGCAGTCATTACGTCTGGCAAGTCAAATATTCCAATGCGGCGCATTGGATTCTTTCTTTTACACATTTCAATCTGTGCCTAGGAAATGGCAGAATACTGATGATCCCGACAGGTTCGGATGGGAGTTCGCTCCCGAAGATTGCGATCCTTCCAAAGAGTTGAGCTCGTGGGAAAGGAGTCTCGTACAGCAAAGATTAATTGACTTAGCAGATTATGTCGCTTTCCAGACCATCGATGATCCGAATCATGGCGCGTATTTGCGTGAGGTGGACTGGGCGATTGGAACTGGCCTTCCTAAAACGACATACCCTGGAGCTTGGGGTGAGAAAAGCGCGATCTTGATCTCGAGACAACGACTTGATGAATTAAAAGCCGCTCACGAAGCACAGCAGAAGGACGTTCCGTATCTCTTGTACGCTCAATTCGACCTCGCAATCACACTGGTTCACGAGCTCGCTCACGCATATCGTAATCTCATGCATGGCATGTTCGACCCCGAAGGCCGCGAGCCTTTCTTTGGAGACGCAGTGGTCGCGGAGGTAGGTTTCGAGCTGGAGAACCGATTGTTTGGCGGACGAATCGAGCGGCTTTGGCCTAGCATTGACATACACGAAAGTACGGGTGAGGACCTCAGCATGTACTGCTTCAGACACGGTCGAAGTCAAAGTCAACTCACGGGCCGCATTGTCCTTTGGGAGTATCCATATCAAAAGCTTGCGAACACTTACGCTAGAGAAGAGAACGCGGCCGATATGGACGTCAGACAAGGGATTGAAGAACTTCGAGAACTGGATCTGGCTTGGAAGCTCCCGGTGAGCTTCTTCCAGCAATTCTTCGAGGACACATTCTGGCACGCTCAACATGCTGCGACTCCTAGCCTCGACGCATTAAAGCCGGAGAAAGATTTCGGGGTCTGCTTCAAGCTCGATAAGTGCGGCAACCATCAACCTACCAAAGGACCAAAGGCTAAAAATGAGGAATGGAAGTATGTGCCGGTTGGATACACTCTGAATCAAGATACTGGTATCGTTGCTGCGGATCTGATGAAGGTAAGGAGCGGCAGAGTGGATAGGAAGAATGTGGTGTTCTCGAGTAAAGGTAAGGCGGTCAAAAAGCAGAAGGAAAGGCCGTGGCGGCCTGTGGACCAGCGGACTCCTGTGGAGTGCTTGCCTGTACACACTGATCTGGATCGGCTGTGGATGCAGAGTTGGTAAGTGAAGCGACCTTACTTTTCTGTATCGACGACACTCCAATTTTGCACGTTGCGTTCCTTCCCGGCATCGGAATCACTCTAGGCACAAGCATTCCTTCATTGTGCTCCTAGGCATTCTGCTATTGTGCTTTCTTTGTTCGCGGATACCTATTTTCAAATCTAAGTCTTTGACCAACCCATCCAGGTCATCTCCTCGCGACAATGCACTCGGTAACAAAGCCGAAAATGGCGCTTGTTCCAGCATAGCAATTGCTATAGCCTTCCTGCCATCTCTCGAAAAAAAAATCTCCTTGCACACTTTCGTATCTCGTTCTCGAAGCACTGGCTGCTATCTCCTCCTTCTCTACGGATCTGGTATCCTTGTATATTATCAAAATTTCCCTTGATTTCCTTATATCATGTCGGCCTCACAGCGCATTGACACGGCCACGCTGTTAAGGACACAATTTGGATACACCGAGAATCATACCACAGCGCTCCCAAGACTGACAAATAGGATCCATCCCATTTTCAAAAAGGCCGTCTCGGACCTGTACGAGCAAGCTCGTAAGGAAACGAGGGAGACTCTTCTTATCCGAGCTTTTGGGCAGGCATTCAAACTCGCCACACGTTTCCTTGACAGTGGAGCTCTGGATTCTTTCTTTTTCATCTTGCATCATCCCACCGAACTAGAGCGATATCGTGATTCGGCTCAGCCTCCCAGGCACTACGATGTCTTCCCGACTGATCTGTGCAGAACAGATAAGCCCATTTCCGATCGTGACAGGGCCACAGTGCAGCAGCGGCTGCAGGAACTAGCAGACAACCTCCGATTCAGAATCGACAGAGGCGTCGAGCAGGGCGTGCGAACATTCGAGGAGACCATTAATGCCACCGTACCTCCGGGAAGATCAGCGAGAAATTCGCAACCTGTTCAGGATGGATTTCAGAGCACAGTACGTATCGCCCACGCCACATATGTCGAGCTCGCAGAGATAACTGCATCGACAGCTCCACCGGACGTGCCAAAGCAGCTGGCAATGCACTTCGATTTCGCGGTTGCCCTGATACACGAAATCGCACATGGCTACCGGAACTTTATGCTAGGTGGATTCTCTAAGCAGGAAGAGGTAGGTGAGCCTTTCCTCGGAGAAGACGCCTTACTCGCGGAGCTAGGCTTTGAGCTGGAAAGTCGTCTCCTGGGAGGCCATATCGTCTTCCTCGAACCTCAGGCTCGGCGAGTCAATGTGTATCAATACAACGGCACGGATTCGACGCTAGAAGGCATACTCTCCATCTACGAATGGCCTTATCAGCAGATTGTGAATTTCTATGAAGATTCCGCAACGCCCGATGACCCGAATTTGATGGACAAGCGCGCAGAGCCAAAAGTGACGCGACCGCTCGATCAAGCGTGGCGCATCCATCTCGACGATGTGGCGAGGTTCTTTACGGACCATTTCTGGAATGTTGAGTATCCGAATAATCGAGACACTGCAGACTTCCTTTGGCCCCGGAGGCTGCGAGGGTTCAACTTCGAGGCGCAGAGAGCCACTGCAGCTGGGAACGCGCGCGGGCCGCGGCCGGTTTCGCGGACGCGTGACGATGGCAAGTATGTTCCGAATGGATATGTTCGTGATAGGAATGGTGATATACGTCCAGGCGGCGGGGGAGCGGTGGCCAGGTCTGTCGTGTATGCAGCAGCAACAACAACAGTGCGTCGCAGCGCGCGCGTCACAGCTGCGAATACTTGGACCAAGCTAGACGAGCACCCAGGCCAATGGCATCACATAGGCAGGAGGTAGTCCTCGCTGCTCATGGGCAGCTTTTCGCATCACTTATTGCACATATTCATTCACTTTCCTGTGGTCCGTTCATCTTGCTCGACCCGGCCAGTACATGTGTCTTGAGACCGGTGCTCGTGATTGTGCGGTGCGTAGTTCGGGTCGGGAACTCGATGCTCAAGTTGAGAGGTGATGGAAAGCAATAGCGGGATGGATGGGATATGGATAGGCCGTGTCACGTGCAATGTAGACTCCAAAAATGGGTCTCACGGAGGTGAAGTCAGAGTTGAGGCTCTTTGCTCGCTCACATCAGACTGCACTGACACTCAGCTATGACGAGCGGCGGCGGCGGCGCTTTGAAAATGCGTCAAAGAGCTTGCCTTGGCTCTTGTCCGGCTGATCGGTACTCTCAACATCCGTTTTCATCATGCTGAATGATGCGCAGCGGAATCCTCGGCCTTGGTCCTGACCCTCATGTCGTCACGCGGCAGACATAAAGTGTACTGCTGGATTGAGGCTGCCATTCACATGCTTCTGGGCCTGCAGTATTCCTCGTAGGTCAGTCAACATGAGTCGCCCAGACGGTGCTCAGCTCAAGCGTGTCAACTCCTACCAGGTATTCTAGGCTCTAGTGCTCCAAGGTACAACGCATCTGACATGTTTGCAGTGGCCGGCAGGGCACGCCAATCACTTGAGCGAGGGGCAGACAATTGCGCTGCACAAGTTCAAGGCGCTTTGTCAACAGAAAGGATACTACGAGCCCGGCGACGAGAAGACGCCCGCTTCTCACGACGACGAGACTCTCCTTCGATACCTCCGAGCGCGAAAGTTCGTGCCGCAAGATGCCTTCAAGCAGTTCAAGGACACCGAGGACTGGCGGCAGCAGAACCAGCTCGACACGCTGTACGAGACGATAGATATCGAGGAATATGAGGCGACGAGACGCCTATATCCACAATGGACCGGCAGAAGAGATTTGCGCGGAATACCCTTCTACGTCTTCGAGGTCGGTCAAGTCAACTACAAGGATGTAGTGGCATACCAGGACGACTCGGATCGCAAAAAGGACAAGAATTCCAACGCCGATGCCCAGTCAACAACTCCGCGCAAAATGCTCCGGCTGTTTGCGCTGTACGAGAATCTCTGCCGATTCGTTCTCCCACTGTGCTCTGCTGTCCCAAATCGACCCTCGCCAGAGACGCCGGTCAGCCAGAGCTCGAACATCGTCGACCTCTCAAAAGTGGGAATCAAGACGTTCTGGAATCTGCGAGCCCATCTGCAAGATAGCTCGGCTTTGGCCACCGCGCATTATCCAGAGACGCTGGACCATATCTTTGTCATTGGAGCTCCTGCCTTCTTTCCCACCATCTGGAACTGGGCGAAGGCTTGGTTCGACCCGATTACCGTGCAGAAAATCTCTATTTTGTCCGACAAGAATATGCTGAGCGAATTGCAGAAGTACGTGCATATCGACAATATCCCCAAGAAATATGGAGGCAATCTGGACTGGAAGTTTGGCGAAATGCCCGTGCTTGAGCCTGACCTTGCTAATTCATTACGATGGAAGGAAGATGTGAGAGATTCCCGTGGAAACAGAACCTTGCCCATTGGACCTATCAAATGGCAGTATGACGACGACGGGGACTTGGTCGCAATCGCCATTGGTAGCGAGAAAGGGTCTCCACGTAACACAGTGTTGGCGGGGCTACATCCTGAAGAGGGTGTGACTCGTTTAGCACTCAGTCCTGGCCGACAGACCACGCCTCACAAAGCGCTGTTTGCCACTGTTTCCCGAACAGGCGCAGAAACCCTCCACCAGTCGACTGCACAATCTCCTGAAAACGACGCTCCGCTCCCACATGCGAACGGGTCAATACATCCACCCACAACCACAACCGATCCTCCACCTACAATGCCAGCCGAAACCCCCTCATCTCCACCATCAGACCCTCTCCTCGACACAGGCAAGAGCGCCAACGCCTCCCCACCAGACCCTCTCCTCGACACAGGCAAGAGCGCCAACGCATCCTCGCCAGACACCTCCCGAGCAGGCACCTACACAGTCCCCTACCGAGACCCCGTCAACGCAATCCAAAGCCCCCCCGAACACGCCAACCGTCAAGGCACCTCAGCCTCGAAATTCGCGCAACAAGACGTCACGCACGCAGCAGGACAATTGGAACATGGCACCCCTCACGTAAGACCCGACGGACAAGGCAATGATGTTAGTATCATGGAGCCTCGAACTGTGGGCCAAGCAGCGAAAGAAACGCCGTTACATCGAGAGGAAGAGCATGCGCCGACGGTTGTGGAGCAGGCAAAGGAATATGTCGCGAGTGTGGCGAGTGCTGTGGGGTTGGGTGGTGCTGCTGCGGAGGAGAAGCTGGAGAAGGATGTTAAGGATGTTAAGGCGGAGGATCACCGGGTGGATCAGATGGAGCCGCATCAGGTGGAGGAGTTTATGAGGGCGCAGAGTCAGAGTCAGCCTGAGCAGGTTCGATCGTAGTTCGTGATGGCCTCCCTATAATGGCTGGCGTTCTGAGCGAGCGTGGGTCTTTTTCTGTAGATACACTGCACTGCTGTGCCTGTGCCTGTGCCCGCGAGGTCCTCACCGAAACACCGCTGTCCGGATAAAAGCCTAGTCCAGTCCAGCCAGGTTCATCGAGATTTCTCCACTGCCCCCCGCGCATAAAGACACGCACGGCTGCAACTGTTGCACTGCCATGTTCACGTCGAATGATCGCTCGCAGCGCAGCGCATGGGACAGTAGGATCCTGCACAGCATGTTCGAATACATTTTCGCCGCTTCTCTTTTGCTGTTCGCCGTCGCTGCAACGTCTATGCGGCTGATTGGAATATCCGATCATGCATTTCTTCTTGCCAGCCCTAGCAACATGCCTGCTGTGCTGCGCTTTCGTGTCTGCCTCTCCCAACACCGCCAGAGGTGAGAAGGCGGCGTTCGTGGAAGAGCTGCTGTCGCAAATGACGCTGCCGGAGATGGGTGCGTGCGTGTTGAGAAGTCAAGTCGAAGAATGCCCGGGCAATTTGTTGTGAATCGTGCTAGGGATGCAACTAATCATCGGATTGACAACTATGTAACTGTATAAAGAAGGATTAGGAGCCTGCTATAGAAACTGCAGTTAATATACCTATTGTGTGTCCTTCCTCTTAGCATAGGTTAGCTAATAGTATTAGCTGACTAGTATATTACCTAACTAAACTACAATACTCCCCCCTAAGTAGAGATAATATACTGTTTAGATTAGACACTCTAAATCTAGGCTTAGAGCTTCACTTTATCTTCTAACTGCCTTTAGATATTAGACTATATCTGCTTTATATATAGCTTTATATACTATACTACTTATACGTACTTGTATTATATTGTTTGCTAATTGGTTTGCTTTAGAGTGATATCCTTAGTCGTAATTATAGGGTTAGTAGGCGCCTATAAAAGACACTTAAACTTAACTAGATAACTTGAGCTTTTACAATCTACTCTTTAGCAATCCCCTAAGTACTAGCAGCCTCTACTAGAATTCAAATTCTTACTAAGACCTTTTAAGTCTAATAGCTAGCCGAGACTTTATTATAGCGATAATTCTTTACCCTAGTCTAGGGAGTATAGCGAGTAGTATAGGTAGTAGTAGTAGCGGCGGCGGTAGTAACGATCTAAATAAGAATCGGCACCCTTCGCGTTATAATAAGCTCTAGCTTATAGAGACTAGTAAGTATTGCTATTAGAGGTTCCCCTTTTCTAACAATTTGCTAACTAGGCGCAGTCCTTAAGGAAGTTTAGTTAACTGTCGCGATTCTCTAGAGAATTATCTAGTGCTTAACTAATATTAGTCCGGAGCAGACTCCGCCTTAGCTACGCAACGTTAATGTTAGGCATTTTATTACGAGCTAGGATAATGCTCGGCTATTTCTAAGTGTGCCTCCGCGTCTACGTAAGGCGGCTAAGGCATTCAATTTAGGCTTAAAATCGAATGTTAACTACTTGCCTACCGCGCTTATATATACGGCTGCTACTAGACGCGTATATACTAGTAACAGCTAGTACGGTCCTTGCAAGCAGTTAAAGGGTCCGTACTTAGAGTATATAACTCTAAGTTATCGAATTAACAGTTAGGATATCGCTTTCCTAAAGGGCGCTTATACTAACTGTGCTAGCCTAAATTATTATAGATAATGCGAGTTCTTTAGTAAGTTGAATCTAGTCTTGTATATTTTTTTGAAGCAAAAACACTAATCCTTTTATTAGGTTACGTCTCTCGGCTACGCTCTAATACGAATCGTTAGACGCCTATAGTGCCTCTACCGCCTCGCAATCCGGGGAGTAGAGTAGGTACTAATTAGCGTCGTCTGTACGTGCTAGTCCCGTCTAGCATCGATTAGAGTACTCCTTAGGGCGCTTAGGCAGTAGCAAATTTGCTACTATAGTAGGCAAATGCTTATACCTAGGCTGCTACTTAGGGACGTAGTCGTAGTCTAGGTTCTAGGTTGTCTACTAGTCCTAGCTCGACTCGTAATTCTAGTAGTCCTTAGAGGGGTTTCTCTAATTACGAAGACAGTAATACTAAGATAGGTAGCTAATTAGGGAGATTCGGTTTTTTCTAGTAGATAGAGAGCTATAATATATGTTTTCGATTTTGAAATAGGCTAGGCAGTCTAGATTAGTAAAAGCCTTATAGTATTAGAGAGTTCCCGACTCTTAAGGGCTAGGGTATTTCTTCCTACTTAGTCTTAATGTTGTTATAAAAGAAATTTTGTAGCTTAGACTATATAGTGCAGCTAGGCTATTTCTAGAAATTAGAATAAAATTCAATGAGTGTGTAAAGCTTGTTTTCTAATCCTATAAATAAGATTTTTCTTTCTAAAGGAGTGACTTAGGAGTTTGTCCTAGAGACGCTATATTATTAGAGAATTTTGTTTAGAGATTTAGGCTTAGTAAAACAGTCCGCTAGCTGTTTGTTAGTAGTAACGAATTCGATACTAATCTTTCCCTAGGCATACTGTTCTCTATAGTAGTAGTTCCTAAGGGAAACGTGCCTCGACCTCTTGGAATTTATATAGTCCTTAATAAGGGAAATAGCTAACTAGTTGTCTACCTAGACGTAAATCCTATTGACTTCTTCCCTAGTAAGTGGTTAAAGCTTAGTTATTAAATTTCGGAGCTAGCAGATTTCTCTATATACTTCTATTAGAGCAATATACTCTACTTTAGTGCTAGAGAGTACGACTTCCTTCTAGAGCTATAATCTCTATATAATTGGAGTGTTGTTAAGAAGTATAAGGGCGCCTAATGTTAATCTTAATAATAAAGGGTTACTAGCAAAGTCTACGTTAGAGTATACCTAAAATTCCAAAGTTTTCTTCTTTCTAAAGACAAGTCCTTTGTTAACTATGCTAGTAATGTACCTCTAGAGATGTTTAGCAGCTATAATATGCTTAGGTCCGGGATTCTAAAGGAACCTAGCAAGGTGGTTAACGGTATAGCTAATGTCTAGTCTAGTCTAGTTAGCTAGAAACTACATTTTACTAATTATAGTATTAAACAGCTAGTAGTCCTAACGGTTATAGGGGGTTGTAAGAGGCTCGTAAAGCTTCTTAAGTGGATACTTTATTAGCTTATACTAGTCTAAGCTATGCTTCTAAAGCTTCTCTTTAGTATAGTGTGTCTAGGAGATAGTAAGGTTTCCCTCCTTATCTTCCTTTAGATAAAGGCCTAGAAATAGGTTAGACGTAACAATCTTGATTGTGTACTTCTTACGAAGACCTTTAATTAGAGCATCGATCTTTACCTTAGAGGTTCTAAAGATTTAGAAGTCATCTATATAAAGGAGGACAAGAATACTATTACCTTGCTATAGGCAATAGTTACTCTTTGTCCTACTTAGGCTAAGTTAACGAAGAGTGTCTAAAGCATTATAGTGCTAGAGATTAGCAGCCTGCTTAAGGCTATACAATCCTTTTCTAATACGGATAATCCACTTTAGAGGGTGCTTCTTAAACAGGTGCGCGCCTTCTAGGGGTCTAATAAAAATCTCTTTATCTAGAGGGGGATTTAAGAAAATAGTCTCGATATTAACCTGTCTTCGCTTCTAGTTTTTGTTTACTAAAAGCCTAAGGACAAGTCTAGCAGTAGCTACTCTTAGTATAGGAGCATAGGTATTAATATAGTTAAGACCTTGCTTCTATATAAAGCCTCTAGCTGTCTATCTTGCCTTGTATTTGTTAATAGAGCCGTCTAGCAGGTATTTAATCTTGAAAACCCATTTTCCTATTAGAGGTGTTCTGCCTTTTAGTAGGGATTCGGCTAGAATCCACTCGATTACACTAGACTTTTTAAGAGACCTTATCTCTTTTGTAACGGCTTTTCTCTATTCATCTTAGTTAGGCCTTTTTAGGGCTTTAGCTAGGGTTGTTAGGTTAGCTAGCTTCTAAGTATCTTTTATAGTAGTAGCTATAGCAATCTTAGTAATCTTGCTATAGTTATACTTAGCTACGGCTCTGCTAGACCTAAGTCGTACTTCGGCTTAAGGAGGGTTTAGCTAAGGTAGGTTAGGAGCCCTCTTTCTCTTACTAGTAGTCTTAGGGACTTAGAAGGGAGTGATTAGGGTGTCTTCTAGTTTAGTAGTATCTGTTTCTTAAGTATACTGATTTTTCTTAGGAGCAGCTTCCTACTAGGCAACTAGTAGTTCTAGTTAGTAATTTTGGAGTATTAGCTTATTAGCTATAGGTGTTAGCTAAGGTAGTGTTCCTTGCTTAAGTATACCTTGCTCCCCCTAAGCTATAAGGGAGTCTTCCTAATCTTCCTAATTATAAGCCTACTAAGGCTAAGGGATGCTACCTCTAAATGGCTCCCCTTAAGGTTCTAAAGAGTGCTAAGGTGTTTGGTTATCACTAGGGAATAGTGTAGGGATTCCTAACTCAAATAAGAGGTTAGACTAGGTTTCAAGTACCTAAATAGTCTCCTAAGGGATAGCTAGTCTTAAATACTCCCCCTAAGCTTAAAGGGTACTTAGAAGCTTAGTAAAATTGTCTTTATAGACAAAGTCCTCGTTAAAGGTAACGTATAGAGAGAATCTGATATTATACTGCTATACGCTATCCTTCTAGTGCGGGTTCTAAAGCAGATAGTTTATTAATGAATTTTCTTAGAATCTAATGAACTAGTAAACGAAAGCTCTTAGTGCAAATTTCTAAGAGTTAAGTCGTTCAACCCCGGATTCGAGGTATTTGAATGCCTTATAGCTAAATCGTCTCGTCTTAGATAGGTCAATGTCTATACTGCCGATATTTAAGTCTAATTCGAAAGCCTTAAGTAGAACTTCCTTAGTTCTTAAGTTTACTAGTCTATTAGTTAGGTAAATCGAATGTATTACTACAAAGTACTAGTAGTATATTGGTAGGCTAGAGTCAATTATTATTGCTCTTGCCTTAAGCAGAATCGTCTTGTTTAACGACTCTGCAATGCTATTCTGCTCCGGTATATATAGTACAGATACATCCTATCTAATACTAACTTCCTCTATAAAATGTACTAGATCGTTGTTAGTAAATTCTCCCCCGCTATTACTAAAGATAATCTTAGGGATTTTGTTGTATTGCCTCTTAATTCTAGTCATCTAGTTGGTTAGCTTGTTACTACTTATTACTTTGTCTTTGTTTCGAAGTAACAGACCCTACCTAAGCCTAGTTTTAGCATTAGTTAGGATTATAATGTACCTATTTCTAAATAGATCAAATGGTTATACGCTAACAAGGTTAATATAGACTTCGTTAAGGGCTTTTTCTAGTCTAGTTCTATATTCTCTTAATACAACTCTTTAAGCTCTCGAGAGCTTATAGGTCTTATAGTACTCGAGTTCAGATATATTAACTTCTTCTAGGCCTAGAATGGCTTCCTTAGTAGCTGTTAGGATCTTGTTGCCGACGTAGCTAAGTCTCTAATGCTATCTCAATGTGTCCGCTCGTAGTCTAGCGATAGCTAAGGCTAATAGCTGCCCTTTCTAACTCGATTCTAAGTTTAGTTTTAAAGCTAAGCCTAGCATTTTAACTCTAGTATCTTTAAAGGCAAGTACTCCTTATACTTCCTCAACCTTTCTAATTAGCTTGCCTTTAAGCATTAAAGTGCCTAAAGGTCTGTCTAAGTGAATGCTATATTTCTTCTAAAGACGCTCTACTAAGATTAGGTTGCAATCTAAGTTCGGGGAGTAGAGGACGTCTATTAGAGTAATTAGGGTTTTCTTTCCTTTATAGGTTAGGAAGATGTTAATAGTTCCTAATCGTAATATACTTAATTTTCCTACTACTTAGAAGAACTAAATAGGCTTAGTTAGGTGCTTAAGATCGCTAAACTAGCTCTTATTCCCTATAATGTGTAGTAATGTACCTATATCCTAAACTTTTGTATTAGCTATTAGGTTCTTAGAGCTTGCTATAGCTAGTCCCGGCTTTGCAATAGCTCCCCTAATTAGGCCCCTACTAAGGCCGTCTAGCTAATAGTCTCCCTTATCTTCCGAGTTAGAGGAGGAGTCTAATTCATCTTTGTTATTGTTAATAGCACTACTAGATTTGCCCTTTCCTTTACCTTTACCCTTCTTGCCTTTGTCTTTGTCTTTATCTTTACTCTTGTCTTTCTTTCCCTAACTAGGTAGTGCTATATTAGGGTATTGCTTATAGCACTTAGCGTTAGTATGCTTGTACTTGTACTAAGTATACTGGTCGTTATTATTGCTAATAGCCCCTCTAACAAGCTTTAAGCCGCTAGATGACTGTCTAAGAGGCTTTTCTCTCCTTAGGGACGTTATTATTACTTTAAGGGAGGAGTCCTTAGCTTTAGGCTTGTTGTTATGCTTCTAGGATCTAAGCTATTCGTAACTAGAAAGGCCCTAAATAAACAGCATCCTAACAAGCATATTAGGCATCTTAATATCTGATAACTTTATAGGCGCTTCTATTGTTGTAACTAAGCTAGCAAATTGTTCTATCGATGTTTAGAATCTGTTAAACCACTACTAAAAAGATTCGCAGTACTACTAGGTGTTCGGATTAGTAAGGGGTATCCTAATATGCCTAATAAGTTTGATAGTATTAAATATGTCTACGGTTATAATAGGCTTATATAGAGCCTTAATGTAGTCGTATGTATCCTTAGCTAACTTAAGTGTATTACCGAAGTCTAGTCTAAGGGCAGGGTCGAGTCTAGCAATAAGTATACCTAGGGCTTGGATATCTTTCTTCTTCTAATCCCTAAATATGTCTCTATACTGCTAATCGGCTAAGTCCCCTATAAACATGCTTTTCAGAGGTAGTTTTATTTTATTAGCCTAGTTAAGTCTATAGAATACTATACTAACTAGGTCCTTTTCTAAAAGGGCCGCCTAGAATATAAGCTTCTAGTCTTAGAAGTTAATCCCCTTCCTAAGAACTTGATTCTCCTTTGCTGTCTTTGTCTAATTAGTATCTATCGTTCCTAGCTGCCTTTTAGTATAGTGCTAGGTAGGGCTTATAAGGGACACTTGCTAGGTTTTAGTCCGAACTAGAGCTCTTAACTAGGTACCTAATAGGTCCAGATAGCTAGCTCTGTTTGGTAGACTCTAGAAACAGTTCTTTTATAGTTGAACTAGACAGGTGAGCGTATACGCCGGGCTTATAACCTATTGTAAATCGTACTAAGGATGCAACTAATTATCGGATTGATAACTATATAACTATACAAAGAAGGATTAGGAGCCTGCTATAGAAACTGCAGTTAATATACCCATTGTATATCCTTCCTCTTAGCACAGGTTAGCTAATGGTATCAGCTAACCAGCATATCACCTAACTGAACTACAACACAATTGACGGCTATGCAGTGCTACAGCTCTATCTATTCTTCGGCGACGATGCCATCGGTCCACACTCCAACAATGAGCTTTATGGTCAGTCAACACGACTCCGGTAGAATTCATCACTGACGCATCGCGGACCACGCCCTCAAGCTCGCTCCAGATGCGGGTATTGGCTTCCTGCACGACGTCTACACTCTCAACAAGACCCAAATCAACAGTCTGCAGGCCCTCAATCTGGAAAAGTCCCGCCTGAAGATCCCTTTCTTGCATACCGGCGAATGTCTGCACGGCGTCGGCTCTTTCAGGCAGTCCATGTTTCCACAAGCTCTCACAATGGCGACATCGTGGGACACGGACATCATCCACCGAGTCGGACGAGCGATCGGCACGGAAGCTCGTGCCATAGGCCTACATGCCTGCTTCTCGCCAGTGCTCGATATATGTCGGGACCCCAGATGGGGTAGATGTCAGGGTTCGCAGCAAGTATGGATTGCATCAACGGAGAATAATGCTGACTGAAATCTAGAGGACTGGGGAGAGGATCACATCCTGACGAGCCATCTAGGAGTGGCCTATGCTGCTGGCCTCTCCAAGAATGGAGCCTGGGGCGAGAACGATGCTGTTGTTCCAGTCATGAAACACTTTGCAGCCCATGGAGCTTCTCAAGGTGGTCTCAATGGAGCACCTTGGATGGGCCATGGCAATCGCGAGGTTTTACAAAATCTGCTCACCCCATTCAAGGCCGCAATCGATCTCGGGGGTGTGGGAGGCGTGATGATGGCCTACAGCGAGGTTGATGACGTCCCATCTCACGTCAGTCCCATGCTCTACGATGCGCTTCACGATTGGGGATATGATGGCTTCGTCATAGCGGATGACACTGGCATGTCCGAGCTTGAGAAAGTACATCAAGTATCGGCAGGCGCGGCGGACACGATCGGGCAATGGTTCAACGCTGGAGGGATGGTGTCCTTTTACGATTACCCACTGGAGACGTACCTGAACTCGACAGTGGAGCTGGTGGCGAATCACACGGTTGCACTCGACACGCTGCGTGAGAAGATGCGACGCATTCTGGGCGTAAAATATGATCTCGGCCTTTTTAAAAACCCCTACATTCCGGACGACATTGATGCGGATGAGCTCACCAAAGAACACGTCCCTCTTGCATTGGAGGCCGCCCTGAAGAGCATCGTCTTGCTCGAGAACAAAAATTCACTGCTGCCATTAGATCCTACCTCGCCAAAGAAAATCGCCCTCATCGGACCATACTCTGACAACTTGAATTTCGGCGACTACTCCGGACAATTTGGGCAATATCCAGTCGAGAATGCCTGGACTCTCCGTCAAGGCATACAACAGGTTTTCAAGGATCACAACACTTCAGTCGAGATCAACACAGCTTGGGGAGCCAATACATGGGTGCAAAACGATCAAGTTCCCATTCCTGGCTATCACCTTTCCACTCCCAACGGCACTACCGGTAGTCTTCAGGCAACTTACTACGCCGACACCAATTTCTCGCAGCCTCTCGTCGTCAAGCCCGAGGTGCCCGTCCGAGATTGGGGCCTCTACCCACCACCTGGTCTACCAAGCAACAACTTCAGCGCCGTATGGGAAGGCACCCTCACCGTCCCCGTCTCAATCACAACAGAAGGCTGGCTCGGCGTCGGCATTGCCTGGAACAGCACCGCAAAACTCTACATCAACGACACCCTCCACATCGACATCCCCCTCACAACCACCGGCAACTTCCTCTCCAACATCCCCAACCGCGCCTACGCCCTCCAAAACAGCACCGCCCCACCCCCAGGCTCCAAACCCTTCACCTTCGTCCCCGGCGCCACCCACAAGATCCGCCTCGAATTCCGCGCCTGGAACCTCTACCAAAAAATCGCAAACCACAACTCCCTCAACTCCGAAATCATGCTCTTCTGGAACCTCGTCGACTCCACCCCGACCCACGCCCTCTCCCAAGCCCTCTCCCTCGCCCAAACCTCCGACCTCACAATCCTCACCGTGGGAGGAGCCTGGAACTCCGACGGCGAATCCGGCGACCGCTCCACACTATCCCTCTCACCCAACCAAACGCACCTCGCCGAATCCATCCTCTCCCTCTCCCTCGCAACCTCAAAACCCTGCATCCTAATCCTCAACGGCGCCCGTCCCCTCTCCCTCCCCTCCCTCTACGCCTCCTCCACCGCAGTCCTCTCCACCGGTTTCGCCGGCCAAGCCAGCGGCCTCGCCCTCGCGCAAACCCTCTTCGGCCTCTCCACCCCCGGCGGCCACCTCCCCCTCACCATCCCCCGCTCCGTCGGCCAATTACCTTCCTACTACAACTTCAAACCCACCACGCACAAAACCTCATATCTGGACGAAGACCCCTCTCCCCTCTACCCCTTCGGCCACGGCCTGTCGTACACGAAGTTTGAGATTTCGAATTTCGAAGCCGAGCGGGCCACGTTCGTGAACACCTCCATCATCACTTTCCACGTCACGGTCCGGAATCTCGGCGCTCGACCCGGTTCGTACACGGCGCAAATCTATCTTTTGCAGCGAGTGAGGAGCAGCATTACGCGTGCGGAGAGGCAGTTGGTGGCGTTTTCCCGGGTGTATTTGGATGTCGGGGAGGGGAAAGTGGTGGAGATGGAGGTGGAGGTGGATCGGTATTTGAAGATTTTGAATCGGAGGTATGAGTGGGAGGTGGAGAAGGGGGAGTATGTGTTTGCGTTGTTGGAGAATGGGGGCATGGGGGTTGATACGGGGAGGAATGTTACGTTGAGGAGTGTTTGAGCCATCATCTGTCACTGAAATGGGTTCCGACGTTAAGGAATGGCTTGGAGAGAGAGAGAGAGAGAGAGGAGTCTTTAATGCCACACTGACTTGAATATACAATCATGACTGTATACTTGTTTTTGACTGATTGCTATCCCTCTCATGCATTATGTTCATGTCCATATGCAAAAAGTCCTTCCCAGTCCAGACACTTCTCGCTATGCTAACCAACACATTTGACAAATACATGCAACCTCAAATGCATCCGTCTGCTATGTGGCACTGGTATTCAGAACGCCGCGCTCCCAAATTCACAAGTAGATTAATATCGATGCGAATGTGCAAATTTACATGATGACCTGTTGCGAGTGTTAGCACGCCTGACCACGTTACGAAGTATATGAATGAAGCGGTACTCACGCATTCCTTGTCCGGAGGCTGAGCAGCAACACCCATCTCGTCGAACGTCTTTGGTCCCTTGCCTGGCGGCCGGGCCGCAGCAGGTGTCGTCTTTGCGGGAGGGGTTGGCGATGGATTCTGCTTCTGCGGCGGAGTGGGACCTGCGCCTGTAGGACGTGTTGTTGCGGGTCGAGAGGCTGATTGTGGCTGTGGCGTAGGATTTGGTCGTTGGTCTCGTCGTTTCGGCTTCAGCTCGCTCCAAGTCGGGTCGACGCTGGGCTTGCGCTCTTCAAATGGAGCCGAGAAGCCAATGTCTGGGATGTGACCTACTGGTGCAGTCGGATTGTGATGAATGTTACCAGGACCAGGAGACAGCGCATTTCCTGGGGGTGGGCGTTGGCCTTGCATGTCTGGAGGGCCTGATGCAATGCGATTGCCCATACCAGGTCTCGCACGTGGATCATTCGGATTGAATGGACGTCCGTCAAATCCAGGAGTGCCAGGTGCCGAAGAGTGGCGCTGCTCATGTGCCATTGGCTGCGCAGTCTGCAGTCGTAGAGGGCCTGGTGCGAGGCCACTTGTGTATGGCCGCTGGCCAAGGCCTGGCTGGGGAGGTACAGATTGGTTGGACGCAGCGCGGAGATCGGGACTGACGTGAAATGCAGAGCTAGGTCGATCATAAGGCTGATTGATGGTGGTAGAGGGGCGAAAGAAGCCACCGGTCGGGCCACTGTTTATCCTAGATGCAGTGAGATGCGAAGGAGGGCCGTCTGCCATCGGGTAAGGAGCAACGGATGCTGGTCTGGGATCGATCCTTGGTGGGCCATTGTCTTCTGGGTATGGTGTTGTTCCTCTGGCCGGTGACTGTACAGCATTGTAACCATTGCTGTAGGACGAGTATGCAGCGCCTTCGCTCACTGATCCAAGGCTGGGCTCTTGCTTTTGACGAAGCCGGTCTGGTCTTTGTCCTCGCATCGAGCCATGGGTAGACTTGATCCGGTTGATGGCTACCTTTTCGTGATCCTGCCTTGAGAGCACTTGCTTCTTCTCCAGGCCTTCAATCCGACCTTTCGCGTCATCGTTGCCATGCTGCGCGGCCTTGTGGTACCACTCCAGCGCCTTATCGAGGTTCACCGGAACATGCATGCCAATCTCGTTGAAGTATCCGAGCGCAAACTCAGCGGTGGGTAGGCCAGTCTGTGCAGCTCGTTCTGCATAGTAATATGCAAGCTCCTCATTCTTGGGGAACAAGCCTTCATGTCCGACCAGAAACCATTTGCTCAACGACATGTCGGCGTCAGCCTCGCCCTGCTTCGAAGCCAATGCGTAGTAATGGATCGAGAGTGCAGGGCTGAACTCGCAACCAAGTGCGCCAAGCTCATAAGCTGATCCCATCTTGGCCTGCGCTTTTGCAAACTTCATGTATGCAGCTTTCTGGATGTTCTCTCTCGCTTGACGCTCATCGTATGGAAGGTAACCTTCCGGTACTTCGACCTGCGGCAGTTGCCGCGCTAGAAGCATGCCATAGACATATGCACCTTGAGCAGCATTCTCATCCGCGGCGTCTGCAGATTGCTTGATCAGGGCTACGCCTCTCGCCCAGTCCTGCTGTTGCCCATGCTGTCCTCTCAAAGTCATCATACCGAGTCGGTAGCAGGAAGCTGCGTCTCCCGCATCGACGCCCCTGTTGTAGTGCTTGAGCGCCTTGATGGGATCATTGTAGGACTCGTACAACATGCCTATCCGGTATTCGGCTCGCGCGTAGCCCTTGTCTGCTGCTCGCGAATAGCAGCGAAATGCCTCTTTCTTGTCTTCTCGCTGGCCAAATCTGCCCCATTCTAACCACATGCCCCGCAGAAACTCTGCTCGCGGATGTTGCTGGTCGGCCAAGAAGGTCACAATGTTCATCGCATCCACTTTGAGTTGGTGTTCTATTCTCGGAGTCGACGATCGTGCCTGCTGTGGTTTCGAGGCTGCCGTTCGCTCAGCGTCGTCTGCGCACACGCCGCAGTAGGTCAAGGCATCCGCAGCCCATGCCAGCTGCATTTCGGGATCATTCGAGTTCAGCACAGGCAGCCGCGCATTCTCCAATCGCGCTTCCAGCTCATCGTCAGTCGGAGGGACATTCGCCGGCGGGTCGACGAGTTTGGGAAAGGGGGAAAGATGCGGTGTATCGCTGTTTCGGCTGTTCAGATCCATATTGCCAATGCCTTCTGCGATCTGGTTCGACATTTCCGGGTTGATCCTGCGGGCCAGATTAGCCAATCCTTCTCATTGCCGCATTCTTGATATTGCGATCTCTGCCATACCTCTGCGGCTCCGGCTGGACCAGCGGCGGGCTGGCGGTGGGCATATAGAAGTCGTCGAAGCCGCCGGGCACGAACGTGGCCGACATGTTGTTCTGGTATTGGTAGGCCATGTTTGCTGTGTCTCTCCTTCGTCTTTCGCTTGACCGGCGTCAGCACTCAGCTGTACTTGTATCGATGCTCGCATGAGCCTGTGGCGTGCCGTATGCCGCGTCGCCCTGCTGCACTGGCGCGCTGGATTTTGGAGCAACTACGTGTATTCACCACGGTCAACCATCGTCGTGGAACGAAAGACTGTTCTCTGGCAGGCGCGATGGACTTTTCGGGAGAGGCAACAATGAGTCGGCTATGCTGGTCAAGTTTGCAACAACAAGAGCTGGACGTGGAGCTGACGCACAGGCACACCGCACACACGAGACGAAAGCGTCGTCATGGGCGCTGGGTTCTGGATCGGGCTTGGCGGGGCTTGGCTTACCGATCATCAGTCTCGTGGCGCGCACCACCACCATCACCAAAGCACTGCACTGCACTGCCACTCCCAGAACAAGCACAGCACAGCACAGCACACAAACAGAAACACCGACACAGACACCGTTCCACCGCCCGCGCCTCATCCTGATCATCCTCCGACTAACAAAGGCTTGGTTGGACGACTCGTCAATCTCACATCCTTCCAACAACTTCCTCCAAGAGGGCACTGCTGGCAGCCTTGCCCTGCCTTGCCTCGATTCCTCACCAGCCGTACTCCTACAATCGCTGTACCATCTTTTCCAACCAGCCAAGCCGACACCACCCTGGCTCTCTCTCCCTGACTCAGTCTCGGAAGATTGGTCCCCATCCACCTGAAGCAAAGGACGTTGACGTTGACCTTGACCTTGACACCTCCCACCATCCCGACCTGGCTTATTATTGACCTTGTTTCGCAGCTTGGGTCCTATCATTTCAACACTCTCTGCTCGATTCTGCTCGGCTCTTCTAAACATGGATCGCTGGCTCGGGGGAGTGCGAGGCTGCTTTGGCACGTGTCTGTGATGATTGTGCCTGTTTCAGCCACCATATTGTAGTAGTCTTATCGATCTCGCTACATCGTCGCTCCACTCGATTGGGACAAGCACTGCAGGGCTAGAACGATGCTTTGTATTCTTGTCGGCATGGCTCGTGTCACTATTCTCTTCGGCATGAAAGTTAGGCCACTACTTGTCTTCTAGCTTCTTTATCACTCGATCGAGCGACATATGCCATATTCTAACGCTCAAATCTGGAGTGACTTCCTTCAACGAGACGATCCCCTTTCAGAACAAGTTTCGATGATGTGAATTACTGCAATAGAGTGAGAGAAGTCAGCTTGGCACAAGACTTTGCCTCATACTCTGCCTTCTCGCAGCATCCCATTTCAAGGTGTCTATTTACATGGCGTCATTCTGTCGTAGACACCATTCATACACGTTGTAGCTTTCTGTCCAGTCCCTTCGCATTCAACCCATAACTCTCCTAAACGATTTCCCAAACGCCATCAGGATGCCGCTGTCTGAAGCAACGCTATGCAAAGAGCCTCAAACTCGTTCTTCGCTCTCGGCTCGGGTATCGTGCAAGACACGCCTTTTGTATGACTCCCACCCCAAGAGACTTCGTGGTTTCCGGTCAGCGTCACGTCACTCAATTCGTCCGGCCTTCTCTGCTCATCTTTGAGCTTCCTCGTCCTTCCAGGCCCAGACTGCGAGTAGATCGTGCGTCTGCCAATGGTATCTTATCCATGACATCCTCCGTCCTTTCATCACTCGTCCGTCAATTTGTCCAACAGGTGTATGCTGAGAATCATCACCAACAGTCCAACTGTTACAATGATCAATAGTGCGAATCCAAACCAACCCAGCACCATAGCACTGGTGCCGACTCCACTCTTCACTGAGCCGTTCCCAAGGTCTTGTGCCACCTGTGCCGCTGCGACGGATGCCGTGTGTTGCCAGAGGACACTGACGAGGACGAAGATGGATGCGATAAATATGAGTGCCAAGGCGACTTGCGAGACGGGTCGGGATGGGAAAGGCTTGATATCGATGTCGGATCCAGTTCGGGCGTCGTGCTCCTCGTGCCAGCCAGGGAAGGTTGCAAGGAGAAGGAAGGTGATGAATGCGAGGACGATTGCGATGATTCTGTGAAGAATTAAGCTTGTTGCTCCGGGTTCAGGAAGACTGTAGTGACCTACAGCAAGTATGGGAAGACGACAGAATTTTTGAAGGTGTTGGCCACCCAGATCAGATTCAGAGGATCCTGATCGATGGAGATCTGTTCGGCGAGGAGTGTGGCGTTATTCGAGCACAGAAAACTTCCTCCGCCATCTGCGTTGACGCAAAGTCCAAAGTATCCCACTCTCACTTCGAGGTGTGTTTCGCCGACGATATTCGCAATGGCTGCCGTGACTCCGGGATTGACTTGAGTCGGATTGTATGTCGGCGTGTACCTGTGATAGTAGAAGGATATGAGGAAGATGCTTGGTATTAGAGGTGACGAAGAGGAACATCCTGCGAGTAGAAGTGCTGTTTCACATGTCAGTGAGGGGCAAGTCAAAGTAATTGATTTAGGGAGACTGACATAGAAAGATGATTGCTATTGCAATCAGTATCATCAAGACATGATGGTATCCCAAGAAGGGTATCAGCCGCTGGATGCCGACGGCGAACCGTACGTTCGGCATGGTAGAAACGGTCTACCGGCTGTCTGGATGATAGATCTTGGGAATGAGGTCGCTTGCTCCAGCGGCCCAGTGGCCGTGGAGTCGGTGAGGTGTGGAATGCAGCAGCCGTGTATTGCTTGGTGGGCGGAACGAATGCTCGTGGTGAGATATTTGACTGCTGGAATGTGTCGAGGGATGGATGGTATGTAAAATGTTCGGTAGAGTTTGGATTCGAGGTTCGGCAGCTGCGAAGGCGTGTTTTGGTCAATTGGTGCGCAGAACAATGCGATCGGTTGTGGAAGTTGTCGGAGGGAGATGAGAAGCTTAGCTCGAGATTGATCAGACTGTCCTCCTACTGCCGCCGTCTGTACACCCTCGTCGTCGCTGAAATCATGGTGGCAGTCGGTGGCTAGCAAAGGTGGCTGGCTGTATGTTTACCATGACGCCAATGGTAGGGCCGGGCAACGTGCCAAGCTTTGCGGGCTCGGCGCCTCCCGGCTTCCGTCTCCCGCTTCCCGCCGCCCCACAATTTCTCCGGCCCAGCACTTTGAGTGAACATGTTTCCGCCTCTCCCCAGAACATCACAAGTCCAGTTTCTACGCATATCATGAGAATCTACTGAGTAAATTACCAGCAATTCTACCTCCTTCCTTCTGAGCCGACATGGCGTCCAGAAGCTATGATGCACCTCATCAACAGGAATGGAGAATAAAGCAGACAGCTGTGCGAATGCATAGATGCTCTGTCTACTTCCGAAAAGGGCTCGAAGTAAACTTCTTATCCTGACAATAAATCTCTACTTCCTTCTCATCAGGCCAGCCACCCCATTCCCCGACATCTTCCACGACTTCGCGGACGGCAGTAACGATCTCTTCACTCGCAGACGCGCGGAATTGTGCAAGCAGTTTCAAAGCACGATCAGCATGTACCTGATACCGAATTGACAGCTTGTATGGTTCTGGCTCTGGTTCTGAAGTTGGCAAAGGTGCGCGGGAGTCTGCTTCGAGAGGTGCGTATGTTGCAGCATCAAGGGGTGGTGGCTTGGATACATCCGCCTCTTCCTTTGGTCTGTCGTTTGGAAGCCAGCTACGCTCCAGGAAGACTCTGAGTGCCACGATCGTCCTTCTCATGGCCATTTCTCCGCCTCGATCTTGGCTTTTGCGGATGGCCAGCTCGTCTCCATGTTGGCGCATAAATTGCGTGAGGTCCAGGAGTCCGTCATAATATCCCAGCCAGCCTAGAGCACGGACGTATGCGTGCAAGGCATAAGGTGAGGGTGTTGTGAGTAGGCGAGGAAGGCCGGGCACTGCCAATGTATCGCCTTCATCCTGTAACGGAGAGACAAGCCGCAAGAATTCTTCCTGACAAGCAATTTTTGGATGTCGTCTCTGACGCTCATTCGGGGAGTCCTGAAGAAGTAGGCGAATATTGAAATATCGGCGGTCGTGAAGGTTCCCGATAAGCTGTCCGTTTTCTACAGCAATCCATACAGCCACTGCGAAGTTCTCCACGGCTCGGCAAAAGCTGTAAAAAGTACCTGAATCGGGATCGATGTGGTGGTCGCGCTGCCAGTCGAGCACTTTCAGAGCAAGTTGGTAGGCAATCACTGCGCCATGGCATTGCAGAAGATCCGAGGAAAGGGGGGCATCATGGTTGGCGACAGCATTCTTTTCGTCGACATTGAGTTTTGACATTTGCTGCAAGTTGTCCTCGCGAGTCAGGCCCTGCAGGACGACATGATACCATGCTCGGTGCGGATCTTTACGACGGCGAAGTAGCTCGATTGCAGAGACGATGCCAATCTCGTAGTCAGCCTTCAGACCAGTCTCTGGAATCTCTTGTCCACGACCTTTTAAGAGCTTTCCCGAGGGAACGAAGCCCATTCGGGAGTACAGCGTGATGGCAGCTTTGTAGATGGGATCGGAAATCCTTGTCAGATCATGTGTTGATCTCAGGTTGAGAATGCCCTCAATCTCGGGGCATTGAGAGACATGATCTCGCAAATACTGCAGTCCAGACTCTGGCGTACCAGCGTGGCTTACGAAGAAGGCCAGAACGTGTTTCCCCAGCACTGCCCCCCGGGCGCAGATGTGAGAATAGAAGCTGTGCATACTCGGTGGTTTGGTACGCGTATAGGTCCACAAGTGCGTCGATTTCGGCAATGGCGCCACTTCTCTCACATCTCCTGGCAAGACAGGCCAGGCCTTTCCATGGTCATTGCGGTCCTCCTTCACTTCCTCCTTATGCGACCTTCTCTCTTCTTCGCGAAGCTTCTCCGCAGTCGCGAGGTATATGTCCTGATCGTGCGGCAGTGCCCACTCTTCCCAAGCGAGGTAGCACGCCCAGGCTTCCTGGACTGTCCTCGTTGTTTCAATGCGGGCAGCCCATGCGCTCGTTCGCGAGTCCCGAGTCGTGCGAGTTTGTATCGTCGGCGTGCCGTCGACATCCCATCCAGCAAAGATCTGAGCATTGCGTTCCCACTCTTCAGGCGCATAACCGGCTTCTCTCATGCGCGCAAGAGTTCTTGCTGCTTTCGATTGACCATAATTCTCGACATCTATGAACTCGTCCATTGCTGTGCGATCGACTTTCCAAGGTGGCCAGGCGTGTGACTTGAGCTCGGCCCACTGCTGATCCTCGTGAGTCTTTCTTTGCGCCAACTGAATTCTGATCACTGCTCTGTAGCCTTCGCGGTTGATCTGCATGGATGGCGAGTGCTCTGCCATGAATTGTAGTATTGGCAGCATTGCGGCTTCTTGGTGGTGGTTATCTCTGAATGGGTTCTCTGCCGTTGACATTGAGACAAGCTTCAGGAGCTTGTTCAACTTTCGTGTAGCTGTAGGTAAAGCATCTTCATCGAGCTCAAGTTTTCGATAATGATTGACGACCAGCTCTACAATCGCCGTGAGACTGGATGGCCAGACTTCTCGCGCATGTCGAAGTAGGCCGGCTCCTGCGATGAAGACAGAATCGTCCCGTAAGCCATGCAGGAGCGGTCGTGCATCACTGGGGTCAAAAAGCACGTAGGCAAGCCTGAGCAGTACTCGCAGAGCTTTCGCGCTGACATACAGCCGGTCGACAATACCCATGTATAAGAATAGAGGTATTGGTGTTGTTGTGCTAGACTTCAGCAGCGCCTCGAGCTTCGCTGCTGCTGCGAAAGAATCCGACTCATTCTCGATCTGAGCCCAGGCGACCAAGTGTGTGACATTGTACCGTGCTGCAAGCAGGACCTCCAAGGCATGAGGTGTTGGCTTGTATGACACTTCCCATTCTGCTGCCAATGAATCTCGGTCTGCTTTGCTGCTTTTTACGAAGTCCCTGAAGATACGCTCAAGCGCGCTCATGCGTGCATTTCGATGCTTGTAGGCGCGCTGATCGCTGTACTCGCTCGCATGTAGAAGGAATGCGGGCGCGAGGCTTGCCTCTTCGGCAGTGGGCTCGACGTGGTGGCGGCCGTCAAAATCAACATTGCGTAGACGCTTCGAGGGAGGTGTTGAGGCGGAGCCTTGTGCTGGTAGTCGATCTTCTTCATGGATATCTGGTGGATTGCTGGTCGGAATGGCAGGCTGAATGGCAGAAGGAATGCCAATGCCACTGCCATGCTGCAGGCGGCGTGGATGGCATTGCGGAATGCACGGTTGATATAGAGCCGATGTGCTACGTCGTCTTGGTGAGAGATGGGCCAGCACCTGACGCAGCTGCGTGCCAAGCGGCGTCAGTCGTCCATGTAGCATGCATCAATTCCAATAGCTTTGGTGAGAGTGGAGGTATATCTCGCGTCTCTGTGCTCACATGTACCAGGTAGGGAGGCCCATACATACCAGAGGCTCAATGCGGGGTTTCTTATACCTCTTACCGCTATTACTACCTAATTCTTCGTATTTGACCTTCTACGACTCGCAATATACTCGCTATTAACTCGTAGAATGCCTCTACGTATCGATTTATCGCTATAGAAGGCTTAGATAATATCTTAAGTCTATAGCAGTACTATACGGGAAGCAATCGTATAGTACCTTATATAGGAGACCGGTTGTTAGATATCCCTTAATATACTTAAACGAAGGCTTAAAGAGTAGAATATTAATTATAGCTACTCTACTTACTATTACTAAGTTAACGATATTAAGGTACTAAAGATCCGGGTCGTATATACCTTCTATATTCTACGGTTACCTAATAAAGAGGCGGTTCGAGTACTATAGGCGGATAGGTTTAAGATTAGCTAGTAGAGGTATTAACGGATATATTAAGAGCTTAGATTAAAGAAGGTATTATTAATAGATAGATAGATAGAAGCGGAAGAATAGATAGTAGAGGTCTTATAGGAAGAGCTCGAGAAGTCTATAGTAGAGTCCTTTAGCCGACGGCACCTATATACCTATATTAGGTCTAAATACAATATTATTAGTTATTACGGCAGGTATAGCACGCCGGGCCTAGTATATACTTCGGTAGCACCGTAGATACTTACGTAATACTATACTATTGCCTAACTACTAATCGTCCCTCGTATAACAATTAGTAGCTTCGCTTTAGTTAGATCTAGATCCGTTTAAATAGTACCTAAGTACTAGACGAACGGGCACTTTAAAAAAAAACTAAAAAACCCTACCGCCGCCGCTTAACGCGACCGCGAGGTCCCGTACTAGCGGTGCCGACCTACCTACCTAACTACAACAACTACCTACGCTCGATATAGATACGATTACGACAGTCCTCTAAATTCCGTATATTATCTTCCGTATATATATAGCTATATACCGATAGCCCTCTAATCGACGGCGCCCTATAGCCCTCTAATCGCTAGACTAGGCGGCCCGCCTTCCTTATCTAGGTTTGTTTGCTCTATACTAGTACCTACCGAAGCGGGCACTAGTCGAGGCAAGAGCCTATAAGTACCCTAACAGTTTCCCGACTCTAGTCTAGTCCCTTAACTCTATACTTACCCTATACTTATAAGATTATCGAGCCTACGCTTATTCTACAAATACGCTAGCTTCCGTATACCCCGATTTAGACGCCTACTCGTTAAACATCGCTTTTTGCTTTAAGGAGTTCTTAGCTAACGCCGGTTACGCTAAGTTAGTATACTAGAAGCAAAGAGACCTGCTCGTAGTAGTCGTTACGAAAATTACTACGCATTATTAGCCTCTAGAAGAATATATACTACGAAAACTCTCGGATACTAGAGGCGGTACTACCCTCGGTTTCCCTTAGGATTAGGTAGTTAACCGCTCTTTAGTTACGGTAGTAGCGAAGACGCTACTTGCTCTCTATAACGAACTTGCAGTTTTAGATACGATAGGACCTAACGACTTAGCGGCTCCTACTCCGGAACTAGCACTACCCTTTCTAGATATAGTAGTGTTTATAAGTCTAAGTCCGGACACTAGCCTATAGCTACGTCGCCGTCGGACGATTTTAGTAGCTAGTACGCGACGTATTACGTACGTACGCTATAGGTCCTTACTAATTGTTTTTCCCCTAGGTCTACGAGAACTTAGTACCTTAGAGCTATTACTTACAAGCAGTCCTAATTTGTCCTTACCGGTTTCAGTCGGCCCTAAGCAGTAGAGCCCTAAATAGTAAAGTCCTAAGCAATACGGTCCTAAGCCCGAGTACTAGGATACGGAGTAGTAGAGTCCTAAGTAGCAAGCTCCGGAGCGAGAGAGCCCTAAGCCCGAATAGTAGGAGCTTCTAGCCCCGAGCAGTCTAGAGTCCCTTTCTTTAGGTACTAAGCCTTACTAAGAGTCCTCTCTATTAGGTCCTAAGCTCTAGTATCGAGGTCCTAAGATATAGTAGCAAGTGCCGTTAATTCTACCCGTTTCTACTAAAGATACAGCCGATATGTCCTAAAATATAGACCTAGAATTCTAGCGCACGGACTTAGTATACATAGAACCTAGTATCGAGCGGGACCTATCTCCTCGATAGTAGATATAGCGCCGCCGATCGGTTAACGCTTTCCTAGGTATAGAAGCTAGGCGTCTAGTCGCGGACCGCTAGCGAGTACGTAACGCGGCCGTAGGACTATCCTCCTAGAACTAGCGCAACAGTAAGTAGCTAGCTTACGACAATCCCTAGCTATAACGCCTACGAGAGGGCGCGCTACGTAAAGTCCTAGTACGCGAGAACTAGAACGCCGCTAGCGCTAACGCGGCCGCCGAAGACGCTAACGGCGAAATCCTAAACGCCGCTAACCTAGCCGTCCTACGTAATAAGATACGCTAGCTGTTTAGATAACTATTAAATTAACAAGTTATCTAAATATAGCAACTTAGGGATAGAATTAGGGACGAGATCGACTAGTTACGCTAGAGCATCCCTTTAAGCTTAGTATAAGACAGGCTTAATACCGGGAGAGCTAAACGCCTCGCGCGTATAGGTTTAAATAAATAGGTCCTATAGGAACAAGTCCTATTAGCCCTACTACCTAACCTAGTTAAGGCCTAGCCGTATTAGTTACGCCGTAACGTATAGCGCAATGCCGAGGCTAGAGAACGCCGCTACAGCTAAGGCGGTGCTACTAGTAGAGGCCCTCTAAGCCCGAGCCTAGGTAATTCCGGTACCTAGGGTAGGAACTTTAGCCCTCGAGGTTACCGCGTTAACCCGTACTATATCGACAACTTTTAGTTTAGCCGCTTACCCTATTATAGCCTATAACGTTCTTAGCGCTTAGAGAGGTTTAACCCAATAGATATTAGATACTTCTACCCCGACGCCCTATATATAGACTTAGACGGCTAGGATATCTATACGTATAGTAACAAGGTTACCTTTACCTCGGTATACCTGTTTTTAGACGCGGCTTACGACTACGCGGCAGTTAATTACGCCCGCATAGTACGTACCTAGCTTACTAAGTACCTACGTAAAGCTATATAGTAATAGTTTATCTACGAGCTAACGAGTAATAACCGCGACACTATCCGCGGAGGAGAGGGCATTAAGCGCTAGTATAAGGCACTAAGGGACAAGTTTAGCAGATCTATCGTCGAGGCCTAGGACAAGCTATATACCGAATTCTATATAATATAGAACGTATATAACCGTAGAGCACCCTAGCAATTTATTATAAACTATATCCGCTACGTACGTAAGGCGGGCCTCGAGATAGACCCGAATAGGCCGTACGCCCTCCTCTATTAGGTATAGCTACGATTCGAACTGCGCCTATAGGACAAGCTCGATAAGCCCTTACTAAGCGATACGATTTACACTTTTACGCGAGCCGTAGAAGACAAGTATAAAGTATAGTACCGTAGATATATACAGTCCGACACCTACGGTATAGCGCGAGGCTATAATAGATATAACGGTAAGTTATAGTATCGAAACGCTCGTAATAGCGACCGGTATACCGATTCTTCGGGCGCGTATCGCGATACTTTAGGTCGCGGTTACGCTAGTAGGTTCGACGACCGGTACGCTATAGTAGTACGCGGATATCGCGACAACTTAGGTCGCGGTTACGCCGGCGGCTACGGCGGCGGCTATAGCAATAAGCGCCCTAGAAATAGTAGCTATACTAATTAAAACTAGTATTAGTATCGAGACTAAGGAAACGACAAGCAAGCCCTAGCGGGGGAGGGACGCTAAAAAGAGTACGCTTCTAACTGTAACAACCGAGTAGAGCTACGTAACAATAATCGGGGCTACGAAGCGCGCGGTAGTAAAGGGAACGCTAAGCGTAGACGACGATAAGATAGGGATACGCAAAAGGACGTACGCGATACCTAGGGTTAGTAATAACGCGGCCGTTAAGATAATAATGCCCCGCGTAACTATTACGCTAATAAGTAGGAACTAGAGCCTTAGGGCGAAGATCCTACCCCTATCCTATATCCGAGTTTATACTTACGCCTACGATTAAGCTTACGCTACTCCGCGAGGCTAGTAAGCCCGCACTCCGTACTAATATATTTTAACGACTAGGTAGACATCTACTAGGGATTAGACGACGTAGATAATAACGCCTCTTTATAGAACTCTGTATTAGTATACTATAGCGAAGTTCTACTACTATCGCCCTTCTCTCTATATATTAGCAAGTACCTTCTCCCGGCTATAGAACCCTTCGCTACGATACGGCCTTTAAAGTTCTTATACTTAAATTGCAGCGCGAAATTCGATAGCAACAATCTCTTATAGGACTATAGGCGTACTAAGTACGCTACGGAGCTAACGCCTAAGAGGGATAGCGTAGAGGAGAACGCTAGGCTTATTAAGTCCGCTATATTGCTAAAGATTAAAGGAGGATACGCGTTTCGAGGCTATTATTATCTACGTATAGTCGTACGCCTATAGAAGGACAGTACTAAGTACGCGGTCTGCTTAGATATAGGCGCTATAGTATTACTTATCGACGAGGCCTTCCTACGCTAGATACGCCCGGATATCGAGCGCAAGCGTCTAGTAGCTCTACTAAAGGTTAAAGGCGTAGGATCTACGGATATTAGCGAGTACGTAGATCTCGACTTTTAGGTACCGGGAATCGTTAAGGGCTCTAAGGTTATCGCCTATATACGTTATAAGGTATATATCGTTAAGGAGCTTAGCGCTAAGTTCCTTATAGTAATAGACATTATCGGCCCGGAAGGCATTAAGATTAATATACTATACCGTACGGCAACGATTAATTCCTATAAAAAGGCGAAGATTCTACTACTAGTAGGCCGCAAAGATTAGGTTAAGTTCCGTACGGTTATATACTCTAGCGAGGAGAACGTCG